CTGGGCGCCCAGACCGAAGCAGGTGGTTTTTTACGGGGTCAAACCTCGAGCCTTTGACCTAAATGTCTAATCCACAAGGCAGTGGAGCATCGTAAGGAGATGCAGTCCCATGGTAGCCGGTGACCAATGTGTGGTCCATACGCCATTTGTTCCCTCAAAATCCTGGAGCCCTTGTGCACCACTGGCTTGGAATGAGTGTTTTCCAACTCCTCTAGGTGGATCCTCCATATCCACCAACCCGATTAAAGCGTTGGACATTCGCTTTTCGTTCTCTCAATTTCGTAAACAACACCCTTGGTGTGAGAAAGCAGTGATTAGGACTTCCCTGATAGTGGTTGTATGCAAATAGTCATATGAGAGCATTTGGAGAGGGAGAGCTGACTCTCCCCCCTCTCGACCACACCAGGGCATTTGGGGATCCTTTGTTGTTTAGAGATTGTTTGTGATTAATGCTGAAGTACATTATAAAGTGTTTCATAGATTTTAACTTGAGAGTTTTCTGGTTTTCTTTTATTATTTAATCAGGAATCAACTGCATTATGTCGAAGGTTTACAACATTTGTGTTAAAATACAATCTTATGAGTAAAGATAACCTGATTGTACCTATTGCCGGTGCTGTAGATGGGGCTGTAATCGAGGCTCAAATATAAGTTCATAATGTTTATGTTTAATATACATTATTATTATCTTTTACAATTTAGGCCTAACTTTTCTTTAATCATATGAAAAAAACCCATGTCTAATTTCATTCGTAAATAACAAGTATTTTTTGTTTCCTACCTGTATTATTGTACAAATATGGTAACATTCTCTTCTATCATAATAAAAAAAATTATTTCAGAAAATCAAGTTGTTTTATTTACAATGTTTGTTTTGTTGATTTACTTATACCTTTTATAGTTTGAAAAATCCATATATCTTTTTTATCTTTAAGTAACAAATATTAAACTAATTTTAATTAAACAAAGATGGATAGTGGCTAGTAATAGAATCCAGGACGCGCGTTTCGTCCTGTTTGGGACTCGTCAGCTGGGTGAGACTGATCAATTACAGTTTATTTATTTATTTTAACACATAGATATTGGTACAAGGAGGCACTAAATAGATGTGCGCCACACAAAACTCATTTGATATGTGCGAGGGCTGTGATACTGCCCGGGTGCCCAAACCGAAGCAGGTGATTCTCTTAGGGGGTGACACCTAGAGCCTTCGACATGAAGGTCTGATCTACAAGGCAGTGGAGCAACGTAGGGAGATGCAGTTCCATGGTAACCGGTGACCAATGAGCGGTCCATACGCCATTTATTCCCTCAGGATCCTGGGGCTCATGTCCACGATTGGTATGGAATGAGGGTTTTCCAACACTCCTAGGTGGACTCTCCGTGTCCACCGACCCGGTTAAAGTGCCAGACATTCGCTTTTCGTCCTCTCAATTTCGTAAACAATACCCGTGGTGCAGGAAGGCAGTGAGTAGGACTTCCCTGGTAGAGGCTATATACGCGTAGCCATGTGAGAGCATTTGGAGAGGGAGAGCTGATTCTCCCTACTCTCAGCCGTACCAGGGTATTTGGGGGCGATCAATTACAGTCTTAAATAACAATGGGAAGATACAAGTAAAAAAACAACAACTGAATGTTAATTACATTTTACCTTATGTTAACAACTGAATAATAATGAAGTGACTTAATTAGAGATTAAAATTTTAAACCATCAGCCAATAAGGTTGAAGTTTCTATATTTCAAGTTTTAATTTATCCCACTACATTGTCTAAATAATCGTATTAAATAATTTATTCATTTTGACACTGAGGGGGTGGGTAAGACAAAATTCTTCAACCTTTTTCTCATTGTATTTTTAAGTTGTGTAAAAAATCTAGAAGAACATCTTATTTTTTACTGAAGAAATAGAACTATCCTGCTCTCCTATGAAACAGAATTGAGCTGTATCGCTCGGGTTATAAAGTTTTAGCCTGGATGGTGTTTGGTTCTCATGGAAACGGGGTTGAGCTGTACTTTTTGGGCTACAAATTTTAATCTTGGATGGTGTCCAACTCTCCTGTTAAACAGGACTGTGCTGTAATGTTTGGGTTGTCACGAGAAAGTCTGAATGGTGTCTGGTTCTCCTGAAAACCGATGTAAAATTATCTTGACCCTCAAGGGGGGTGTGGCCCCCTAAGAAAACCATCTGTTTCGGTTTGGACACCCAGGCAGTATCCCAGCCCTCACGTGAGTCGAGTGATTTATGTGGAGCATATCTGTTTGGTGCCTCCTTGTATCAGTGTTTGTGTCTAAATAATAATAATACCATTCAATTCAGTCGAACTGCATCCTCCACGCTCTCCCTTTGGCAATGACATCAAATGTAGTGAATGAGGAACTCAGGTGGAGAAGACTAGTTTATTGTTTAGCGCAAAGTCACAGAGTGCCTTGGTGAAATATGAAAACCATACATCAAATACATCTCTTGTACATCCACCAGTTATCTCTTACAAACTTCGTCATACCTTCATTTCTGTTGTTACTTTGGTCGCTTTCGGTTCTCTTTTTTATTTCAATTTCCTCAGTCTTCTGCTCGCAGGCATTTCCCTTCCAACTTTTTTTGCTATTTACATCTGCGAACATAAATAGCATATACCATACACATCGTCTTTAAATTTTCACTCCTGCGGTTCTACCCGCCGTGACACTCTCCTTTGCCGCAGTCTCTGCCACTATCGCTAGGTTTAAATATTTTATGAAAAGCTTAAAGAATACTGATGTATTTAAGTGGTTTTAACTTGGTGAAGTAGCATACTATTCATAATCAAGTGAGACATCGATTGAGAATGGGCAATGGATTTAACAATAGTACACGAGATTAGAGGTAAAAACGAATGATAATTTGTAATATTTTATTGCAAGATAAACAATAAATAGAACTATCCTACAGGGATGAATTCTGCATAATCTCACGTAATGTTTTAACTCATTTATCAATATCGCACCAAGGAAAATGAGCGATAAACTTACACCCAGTTCATAGGAGACAGTAGTTTCATAGGATAATGACATTTCAACACTGTCTGTTCTGTTAGCTAGATCGTCTAATTATGGAGCTTTCATTGTTGTTTTGAACAACATTAGCCCATACTTCATGCATATATGAGCCTTCCAGTCAAATCAGTTCGTTCTAATTATCCTCTGTAAGATTGTTTTTTTCTTAGGTTTTATTCCGTAGTATATGTGAAAAATAACCCTGAAACCAATCGAAATCAATGTCACTTATAAAACCAACGCAATCACTTCATTCTATTTTATTTAGGCTGAAGACATATAACCAATAAGAAACAAAATGTGTCTTCATCTACAAAATAAGTTACACCAAATGCGAAATGTGTTACAGTGGACAAAGTGAAAGACTTCTTCATTTGTTCATAAATTAAGATGGATTAGGGCTGGGATGACATTGTATGTCGTCACTAATGTAACTGTATGTAAAAAACTGTGGGCATGAATTTAGTTGGGAAAAATCAACATTCTGGATCAGGAAACTTTTAAGAAGGTAGGGTGATTCTTAGAAACGTGGGATCCAGATAAATAGACAATCAGTAAATACATTGACATAGAGCCGATCTCTCAATCCACACGGGAGAGGTCAGTCAATCACGTGACTTGATATCAACGGGAAAAACAGCGAAGATGAAAGTAAAAATGGTGACAAAGGTGGCCATTAGAACAAACTTATCTAATGCTTGTGGAATGACTGAAAATGTTAGTTCTATATAAAGTATGATTTGGCGATATCGTGTAGAGTAACACTGGAACTTTCACAATCAAGTCATCTAGCTAACACGACACAACACTTCTAAAAGTATCTAACCGAGAAGCAAATCTTCATTATTTCAAGATACAATCTTGTGCTAGAAATCGGTATTATGAAGCAGTTAATACGCGTATCTGATGCTTTTAATGATTTGTGAAGAAAGAAAAATTTATTCTTCTCGCAATAAAAAGATAGGCTTGTTTTCTATGTCATGGAGTGATCTCTATGTTTCTGTATATTATATATTCTAATGAATCGCAGTAGACTGAAAGTAAATAAGGCAACACTAGTGCTAATAATCTGTTAAATAACTTAATGATAGGAATTATTGATCCATGCAAAGCTCAAACTGAAGGTTAAGCAAAGAACCTCTGTGCAACAGTAAGAGTTTATCAAGAAGTCTACAATTAATTTACCTTGAACTTTATCAACCAAACAACAAGCTTATCTGATAACAAAACTTTAAGTTTGAATTTATCCACCAGGAGTTTAATCTGATCTATATGAGCGTACTCATATTAATAAGATTCATTTTGTTTCGAATCGGATTCAACAGTGTAAAACAAATGATTATTTATTTATTTATCTAAACACGTAAACATTGGTACAAGAAGGCAACAAATAGATATGTGCCACATAAAGCATTCGATTTGTGTGAGGGCTGAGATTCTTCCCGGGTGCCTAAACCGAAACAGGTGGTTTTCTTTAGGGTTCACACCACAAACCTTTGGCCTAAAAGTCTGATCTACAGGGCAGTGGGGCGACGTCAGGAGATGCCGTCCCATGGTAGCCGGTGACCAATGAGTGGTCCATACGCCATTTGTTCCCTCAAAATCCTGGAGCCCTTGTGCACCACTGGCTTGGAATCAGGGTTTTCCAACTCCTTTTGGTGGATCCTCCATATCCACCAACCCGATTAAAGCATTGGACATTCGCTTTTCGTTCTCTCAATTTCGTAAACAACACCCTTGGTGTGAGAAAGCAGTGATTAGGACTTCCCTGGTAGTGGTTGTATCCATGTGGCCGTGTAAGGGCATTTGGAGAGGGAGTGCTGACTCTCCTCACTCTCGGCCATACCAGGGCATCTGGGGGCAGTCATCAGTAATAATGCTGATTACCAGTAATTATCAGCATTATCACTGATAATAAGGTAGATTCATTTCTTTATCATCTATAATTTTGTTTTTTCATTGTCTAGTATTGTCAATAATACAAAATATGAAGATTGTTCCACGATACAAATATCTATTTTGTATAAATCAAATTATACCACAATATCATCGTATATTCTATTCAACTCAAACAACAAGAATAACAAATTATATACCTTTAATTGGATTAGAAATTCATGCTCAATTATCTGTACATAATAAATTATTTACATATGTACCATATAGTTTTGGAGCTCCTCCTAATACACAATTAGGTTTACATGATGTTGCAATCCCTGGTAGTATGCCGGTAAGTGAAACTGTTGAACTTATTATGTATTGAAGTATATATATATCTTGTAGTATATTTTAAGTGTATTTAATAGTTCCGGCTTTAAAATATCACAGGAAACATGTGAGGTATAAATTGTTGATATCTAACATTTACTTCTTGTTGTTTTTATACCAGTTTTTATTTACAGATATGAAATTGTGAAAGGATTTTATTACTAGTAACTTCTTACGTTTATATTTGTTGATTTCAGAAGGATTTATTTCTGGATATTATAATAATTTTAATAGTTGGAATCATGAGTCAATTGAAGCTAGACCATCATGGAAAACCTGGAAGCATCGGACGTCCGTTTCGACCTAGTATGGGACTCCTCACCAGTGCACATCCACGATCCCGCCTCTCCAGATTCGAACCCAGGATCTACCGGTGGATGTGTCGCGCTAGACTGATAGGTCTTGGGTTCGAATGGGGGGGGCGAGGTCTTGGATGCGCACTGCTGAGGAGCCCCAAAATAGGACGAAACGATCGTCCAATGCTTCCAGGTTTTCCATGTTGGTCTAGCTTCAATTGACTCATGATCTCAACTATTAAGATTTCTTTATTTCTTTATTTAAAAACATGAACATTGGTGCAAAGATGCACCAAAATATATATGCGCCATACAAAGTAATTATTTTTCAATTGGTGCATGAACTTAGATACTGTCCGGTTGTCCAAACCGAAACAGGTGGCTTTACAGGGGCATTCAGGAGTTCTATGTTCATATGATAAATGTTGGTTCATGAAGAAAATGTTGAACTGCGATTTATTTTAGATAAAATATTTACTTATATATATTTTTATAGTTATTTAGTGTTTAGTGAATGCTATATACCACATGAGATTCTCATTTCAGAGGTAAAGTTTTAATCACGATGTGACTTTTATTAAGTAGTCATTGGAAAAGGCGGTTGGATTTTTCATGTGTGAAATCAATCAAGTCATTAAGAAAATAGTTACTCACTCACTGATGAGAATATTATATGAGGATTAAAATTCGTTTGTAATTGGAAAGACTGACTCTAAAATACTAATAAAGTAATTTCAAGATATCATACTCACTTTAAGATATGTATATTCTATGTTCGATTCCATGTGTCATCGAAAACTATATCGTTAAAGAATATTTTTATAATATATTCACCATATTTGAAGCGATTACAAGTTCACCTAGTTTGAGAACAAAACAAAAGCTCTGTGACCAAAGACCATTAAGCCAACTATTCTGATGCATTCTAGCCCCGTTAACTAGAGATTAAATTCCAAGTTCGAAACAGGCAAAGATATTCTGTAAGCAGCCAGAAGCATGAGCAATAATAACGGGCATAAATCAAACGTATATATACAGCATAAACTAGTCTTTAGAAAAGGTTACAAAATAGCACACTAAAAGATATAACGAACCAATAGCGTTTGAGTTTCTCCCAAGTGGGCTATACGACATAAAGGTGAAAATGAGCACTTTTGGCGCGAAAACAAGAATTTCAAAATAAAATTACAAAAATAAGGTATTTATCAAGTGAATTCTGGGGATCTAACATTGTCAACAAGTTAGCTAACTGATTATTGAAATATTATTATCCTTATTTATAACATCACTGTAGAAATTTGGTATTAATCAAATAGTTATGTCATTTTTTAACTCGCGAGGCAGGATCTCGTGGATGCGCACTGCTGAGGAGTCTCGCACTATAATGAAATTGCCGTCCAGTGCTTCAAGGTTTTTCATGATGGTCTAGCTTCAATTGACTCATGATCTCAATTGTTGAAATTACTACAATTTCCACAAAACCCCTTCTGATACTAATCAACATATGCTCATTAGTTACTGGCTTCAAGAGGTATATCCTGGAGTTCTAGTGAGAAGCAGTGACCTGTGGAATTCAGTCGCATCAGTTGTGAGATCGTAACTCACTGGAGACAATGGTGGATGTGTCGCTCAATTTCGTGGATTAGTTGAAGTTAGACATTAATACCTCTGGATGCAGGCCGACTCAGTAGTCTAGTTGGCTAAACGCCTGGCGCGAGACCGATAGGTCCTGGGTTCAAGTTTCGCGAGGCGGGATCGTGGATGCGCACTGCTGAGGAGTTCCACAATGAGACGAAACGGCCGTCCAGTGCTTCCAGGTTTTCCATGGTTGTCTAGCTTCAATTGACTCATCATCTCAACTGTTGAAATTACTACAATCTCCACAAAACCCCTTCTGATACTAATAGTTTCTTTTACTTTTATTGTATTACATTGTTATTTAACAGATTTTAAATCGTCATTGTCTTGAACTAGCTATCATTGCTTCAATTGGATTAAATTGTAAAATTAATTCAATTACAAATTTTGATCGTAAGCATTACTTTTATACTGATTTACCAGCTGGTTATCAAATTACCCAATATTATAAACCAATATCTATAAATGGCTATTTAGATTATATTTGGTTACGAGATCATTCAATCATTGAACAACTTGATCCATTATATACAGAAGTAATACATAGTAATAATAATCAATATTATTATCGTTCACATGCTCGTATTAAATGTATACAAATTGAACAAGATACTGGTAAAAGTTTACATAATATACAACGTGATTGTACTTTAATTGATTTAAATCGTTCTGGTAAGTTGTAATAGTTGATTTGTTTTTATTGTTTATGAAATTAACCCAAAGATCCTAATAGAAATTAGTTCAAAATTAATGAAAGTATTAAATCGTTGCAACCCAATTTCTTTTCAATCTCATTCTAGGTTGTTTAGAATTCATTATGATCATGTTTATTTCCACCATTGATGTGTTGTTGTGGATCAGTCTGTGGTCTTGAGTGCTGTTAGTGGTATGAGGGCGGTTATCACTTCCCGGTTGCCCACACCGTGGAAGGGTTGTTCTGGAGGTACCTGAAAAGGAAATTGGATTAGAGGTGATCTTAGTGACCTGGGAGTGTGACCGCAGTGCCCAAGGGACAACTGCCTGAGGTCGGTCACACACGACCTTTTTATGGGTAATTTTTGTGTCAGCTCCGTACTTGTTGAGACCTTACCACCGGAGACGGAAATCCGTGAGGTAAGGTGAGGTGTGCATTTTTAGGGTCGACCTTTTCTAACCCCACCCCTCCTTGTGGGAAGGCAGCATCGCTGTCATGCTGGTTGTCTGAAGGAAACACCTTACTGCTGTCACACCTCTGTACAGTCAGCAGTACGACTTCGCCTTCGGACCTTGGGTTTGTTGCTTTTAGTCTTACCGTTCTTCAACCGACCTGTCTGACATGGTAGGACCTTGAGGAACGGTTGTTCCAGCCAGTATAGCTTGGTTGCTTCATCACGATAGGCAAGCCCGACCACCGCGTCAAGGTAGCAACAACGGTCGGGTGTTGTTGTGGATATTTGGTAAAATAGAAAAACCATACTCTAACACTTAATTTACAAAATGTTTATTAATTGTTTCAGACTTCATTTTTCCTGGATCTTCATAATAATTGCTTTCGGTTGCCATTCTTCTCTTCTTGATCTTTTCAATCTTCTGCTGCCAGATATTCTATTTCTGACTTGCGTTATATACTACTTATGACGATATAAGTAGCACACACCACAATAACATATATATAATACACTTAGCTTAGGATTGAAAATGTTTTTTTGTTGTTGATTGAACTGTACATTTTTACTATTGCTGATGTAACTATGTGGGTAAGAAAATCATGTATTAGATAGTTATCGATGACTTACAAAATCGAATTAGCTTCAGGTGTCAAGTTTGTTCTATGAGATAGGATCATAAAACGGTGTTAATGTTAGCATAGCTAAATTTTGATTGAGGAATTCAAAGTCATCCAGTGCTATTTAATATTCCAGAAGTGAGTATTAATGAGGGAAACATACTAGTTAATATCGTTTTGATAGCAATAAATTGTCAAGTTTGGTAGTTTCTTTCGTCTGTAAGAATCTCTCATAAAAATCGATTCGAAATCCTGTGACTGCTACACCAATCAATGGATGTTTGGAAGCCACAGGCAATAATAAGTTTCACACAAACTAATGGAGAGTCTCTTGATGGGTGCCATCATATACTAAACATGAACAATGTATTAATTTCACTAGTCTTTCATTCTCTCATTTCCTCGTGGGAATTGTAGTGGTTTCCGTTTCCGAGCATCAGCAGTAATATCGAGGAGTTAGAGTAGAATCTGCTTCTCAAGTAGAAGTAGAACTGCGAACTCAATAGAGTCGAGACATACGTACAGCAACGACATACTAGATATAGCGGTTAGCTACCTAGTTATAACTATTCCAATGGACCCAATTTTGTCAGTTATAATGGTGACGATTTTCGGAATACAGTAAATGATATTCATACCTCAGTGAAACTCTTTTGAATTGCTTTATCCATTTCAGATGTCGGTCTTATAGAAATTGTTACTGAACCAGATTTTAATTCATCTGATCAAGTTACTGCATTCATTATGGATTTATCACGTTTACTAAGGCATTTAAAATGTTGTAATGCTATTGGTGCATTTGGTGAACTACGTGTTGATGTCAATGTTTCTATTGGTCAAGATATAGCCAATCAAAATCCTCGAGTTGAAATTAAAAATATTGGCACTATTCATGGTGTAATTTCTTCAATCGGTTGGTAGCTTCGTTTCATATTAACTTGGTCATTATCCTTAATATGTCTGCTTTATTTCGTGGTTATTATTGTATACATATTTTTTATCGTAAGAAGATTTCCACTAGTTATTTATATAAAGAACGATTTAATTCACAGAAATCTTACAAACTATTGTGAGAATATCTTTCATCTTGAATAATTCGCTACCTCCAATAGAGTTAGTAATTAACTACATTACATATCGAATGTGCTGACCTTAGTTTTAACTGTAAAATTTGGTGATGTGCATGGGTTAAGTACTTTCTGTTTGAATTTGGACTCGTAAATATAGTCATTCCATTCTGTTTGTATGTGGGCTGTGATACTGCCCGGGTGCCCAGACCGAAGCAGATGATTTTCTTAGGAGGCAACACCCTCAACCTTTGATATAAAGGTCTGATCTATAAGGCAGTTGAGCAACCTAAGGAGATGCAGTCCCATGGTAACCGGTGACCAATGATTGGTTTATACGCCGTTTGTCCTCTCGGGATCCTGGAGCCCATGTGTACCACTGGTTTGGAATCAGTTTTCCAACTCCCCTAGGTGGATCCTCCATATCCACTAACCTAATTAAAGCATCAGACATTCGCTTTCTGTCCTCTGAATTTCGTAAACAACAGCGATGCCACGAGAATGCAGTGAGTGTGACTTCCCCGGCAGAGGCTATATGCTCGTGGCCATGTCAGAGCATTTCGACAGGGGGCGGGCCCTCCACATTCTAGGCCATACCAGGGCATTTGGGGGCCGTATCAAAAGTATTAAGAAGAATCGAGTCATCATTCGTCAATATATATTACTTACTTTTTTACTTACTTACGCCTGTTACTCCCAATGGAGCATAGGCCGCTGACCAGCATTCTCCAACCCACTCTGTCCTGGGCCTTCTTTTCTAGTTCCTTCCAGTTCTTGTTCATTTTTCTCATGTCTATCTCCATTTCTCGGCGTAATGTGTTCTTTGGCCTTCCTCTTTTCCTTTGACCTTCAGGATTCCATGTGAGGGCTTGTCTTGTGACGCAGTTGGGTGCTTTCCTCAATGTGTGTCCTATCCACTTCCAGCGCTTCTTCCTGATTTCTTCCTCCACTGGGATCTGGTTTGTTTTCTCCCACAGTTCGTTGTTGCTAATAGTGTCCGGCCAATGGATCTGAAGTATTTTGCGTAGACAATTGTTGATAAACACCTGTATTTTCTGGATGATGGCTTTTGTAGTTCTCCAGGTTTCTGCCCCATACAGTAGAACTGTCTTGACATTTGTATTGAAAATCCTGACCTTGGTGTTGGTTGACAGTTGCTTTGAGCTCCAGATGTTCCTCAGTTGTAAATATGCTGCTCTTGCTTTGCCGATCCGCGCCTTCACATCTGCATCAGATCCACCCTGTTCATCAATGCAATATATATATATATATATATATATATATATATATATATATATATAGATAGATAGATAGATAGATAGATAGATAGATAGATTGTTGAATACTTCTGACGAAACCAATTCAAAGTATGTGTCACTCAAACCTAAATTTTATAATTTAGTTGTTATGATTTCTTTTATTACGACCCAACTACTCTTATTGCTTAGAATTTTTAGACACCACTTCACTCGAAATGTCCCCAAATCAGAACACGGTTGGGCAGAAATGTAATTGTATTTCGACTAGCAAGGTTGGATGAAGGCAGGAATCACAATAAATGAAACGTCAGCATATTTATAATTTTCGCATATGAAGATTCTTGAATCTTCTCCAAGTATCCGTTGACGGTGATTGGTCGAGAAATAGTTAGTCAGCGTGCTCCAACATAACCCTGCACGAAACATGTTTTGTTCTTGCTCTTTTCAAGATGATAAAGGAAACTATGTATTTGAAACATGCTTTAATCTAATCTATATCCCGCTAACACTAGTATTTATTCTAATTGAGAGGATGAAAGAGGATATCTGGCGCTTTAACCGAGTTAGTCGATACGAAAGATTCACGTAGAGGAATTGGAAAATCCTAATTCCAAACCAATAGTGCACGTGTGCTCCAGGATTCTGTGACGAAACAAATGGCATGTAAACCTATTGTTGATCACCAACTACCATGGAACCGCATCTCTCAACGTTGTTCCACTGCCTTAAAGATTAGACCTATTGATCAAAAGACTTTGAGAGTGACACCCTAAAAGAATCACTTGTTTTGTTATGGGCAATCTGCCAGTATCCCATTCCATACACCAAATGAACAATAATTACTTCGTATGGCGCATATATATTTTGGTGCCCCTTTTCACCAATCTTTATGTTTAAGTAAAATAAATTTGAAAAATTCCAGTTGAATTAATTGTTTGTATGTATGTAAAAAATAGTCCTTTTAAATTCCATCTGATACAACGTTACATCATTTCACAGATGCATTGATTTCCTCTGTCAAGAAGACATAGTACTCATAATTTGTTACTGTTACATACAATTGAAGTATTTCAAATACATTCTAATGAATATTCATCAATGATCTAAATGCAGAAGTAATATATGTTGAAATATATTATTGTTTGTAATTTTAGAATATAAAATGTAATGAACTTCTTCGTCCAAATAAATACAAATGTGAAATTTATATCTTTTTGATCTAACAAATTGTGGTATCTTTTTCATATATTTAAAGTAATGAACTGCAGCCAAACCAGTACATAAATGTCAGTACATGAATTCGTGTACTTGTGAACTTCTTATTTGGTTAATATCGTTAAACATTGATCGAGGTTGCATACTTCCATTTATTCCTGTTAGTTTACTCTCTTTGTGTTGCTAATATGAAGATTGACAACTTAAATCAATATACATTTGTACTGTTGTCTGGTGGATAAGTCTATACTGTAGACCAAAAGTAGTATAGTACGTAATGTTTTACTGAATACATAACACTAATGTAAATATTATATTTTCTTAATTAGATGAAGGGATTGTAGAAGTTAGTTAATTTTGTAGATGATTTTCATTCCATAATAACATTGTCTGAAGAACCACTGAAACCTTGGGAGTACTAAACATTTTGTTTTACAATAACTATTTACTACCCTGTATATGAGATCACACTCTGAACCCATTGAGCTTTGACTGATAGAGGTTCTTCCATGTTATAAATGAAACATACACCATTGATTGTGTTCACTTGAAGACCGATCTAGAGTATTGTCTGAGTTATTGCTGTGTACTCTGGAACGAAGAACAACAACAACTGTTCAATGCACCAAGTTTTCCAATTATTCTGACACTGATTTGCTATTAAAAAAAATCTATCTCCATTAGAAAATTTTCAGTTTTAATGTCCTATTTATTGGTTTTCTTTCATTCCAGACTATGAGATTAAGCGCCAATCTGAAATTCTCAATTCTGGTGGACAAATTACACAAGAAACTCGATCTTATGATCCGGTGAATAAGTAAGCTTATAATCATTTCAAAATGATTATATTCAACTCTATGGATTGTATAATAATCTTATTATTGTATAGAATAATAGTATTCTTTATATTGTCAATTTCAGTGTACATATATGCTTTATCTTGATCTAAAAACTATCTGCTTTGTTCTTATGATCATAATTAGATCAAGCAATTAATTAATTGTGAGACAACATAAGAGCTAATACAATGACACATTGATTCAACTAGTCAATACTCTATAATCATCAGTAAAGTAAATAGTATACTAGATGAAAAGCAAGGGAGTTTTTTATTAAAAAATTGTGGTTCGAGAAAAATGAATGAGATTTATAGATTAAAAGTATAAAATAAAGTTAGAATCAAGATTAAAAAGTTGGCTGAGAAAATACATATGACTAAGTTATTGTGATCGGTTTTGTTGATAGTCGAGTAAACATCAACTCGTATAGAGGTCAAATTGAGTCAAAGTGGTTGGCATTTAAACTAAAATCTGATTAGTAAATTACTTACATGTTTATGGAGGCCCCCAAATGCCCTGGTACAGCCGAAGATGCAGAGAGTCAGCTCTCCCTCTCAAAATGCTCTCACATGGCCACACATATATGACAACTGTCACTACCTTCTCGTAGCATCGCTGTTGTTTACGAAATTCAGAGGACGGGAAGCGAATATCTAGGTTAGTGGATATGGAGGATCCACCTAGGGGAGTTGGAAAACTGATTCCAAACCAGTGGTACACATGGGCTCCAGGATTTTGAGGGAGAAAATGGCGTATGTACCAATCGTTGCTCACCGACTACCATGGGAATGCATCTCCTTACATTACTCAACTGCCTTATAGATCATACCTTTATATCAAAGGTTCGGGGTGTTGCCTCTTAAGAAAACCACCTGCTTCGGTCTGGGCACCCGGGCAGTATCACAGCCCTCACACAAATCAGACGAGATTTGTGTGGCGCATATGTATTCGGTGCTCCTTTTAAATATTGGTACAGTGTTCAAATAAATAAAAACGTATGTATGGCTATGTTACTGACGTCGTTAAGTCGAACTCTTCTTTTTTGTTTATACCAATGTTTCTGTTATAACTTGCGACCTGTATGCCCTGTTAACGTAATGATACTGCCAATTAAAGAACAGTGAATTATCGACCGGACCAATGACGCATAAAACATATACGAGCAGTCTAGAATACTTATCGGTCCTACTTTCCGCCTAGCCCAGCCAGTTAAGTCCGGAACACTAATCTCAGCCTCTGTGAAATGAGCCATTTATTTCAAATATACTCGGTTTATATACCAACCAGACAGACCACACCGTACCATAAAACAGGAAACAACATTTATACAAGATTTAGCCAAATGTGACTGTGAACGTGGGAGGTAGTGATTCATAGACAGAGCATAACTCAAGAATGGTAAGTCGTATAATAATAGTTCATAGGTCAAAATAAAGCTCATAATAAGAGGGACATGGATATGCATAGTATAGTTACTAAATAATTATACGCATGGTATTGGTCCATAAATGGATCTTCAACGTTACCATTTATTATGCTTATCGGGACCTAACAGTTTCTCAGTGTATATTATCTAACTAATTGATAATCATATTTTCACTTGTTAATTGTTCTTTTTGTTTATTACCTTCCTATCATAATAATAACAATAATGATTATGATTGTAGTGTAACCTTACGAATGCGAAATAAAGAATTAGCTCAAGATTATCGTTATATTCCTGAACCAAATTTACCTTCTATTAAAATTTTATCAAATTGTTCATTATGTTCATTTCAATCATCGTCTACATCTTCATCATCCACATCATCTGCATCATCATCATCATCTTCATCATCTGAATCTTCTATATCATTATCCAATAATCAAATTTGTATACAATGTATTAAACAAAAATATCATTTAGATTCTATTAATTCAATAATGAATTTACCTCAATATAAAAAACAATTATTTTTAATTGAATATGGTTTATCATTAAATCGTGTTATTGTTTTAATTGATAATAATGAATTATGTAAATTATATGAATTAACATTGAATTATTTAATGAAAAATCATTTAAATATAAATTCTAATGAACAATTCAATAATTCAATTTATGCTAAAGAATTATGTTATTGGATTACTGGTTATTTAAATTATTCAAGTAAAGATAAAACTTTGAAACGGTAAGTTAATAATTTCATTACTTACATTTGTTATCCTTCGTTAAGGAGCATAGGTTGCCCACTGGCACTTTCCATTCAACTATGTTGTGGGCAAACGTTTCCAGTTCTTTTCAGTTGCTATTCATCCTTTTCATGTCTGCTTCTAATTTTCGATGTAGTATGTTCTTCAGCCTTCGTGTTTTGTGTTTCCATTCTGGTCCCCGAATGCCCTGGTACTTGCGAGAGTGGAGAGAGTCCGCTCTCCCTCTCCAAATGCTCGCACATGGCCACGCTTATATAGCCTCCGACAAGGAAGTCTTACTCACTGCCTTCTCGTGGCATCTCTGTTGTTTGCGAAATTCAGAGGATGAAAAGCGAATGTTCGGCGCTTTAACCAGGTTGGTGGACACGGATAGTCCACCTAAGGGAGTTGGGAAACCCTCATTCCAAACCAATGGTGCACATGGCATCCAGTATCCTGAAGGAACAAATGGCGTATGAATCAACGTTGGTCACCGGTTATCATGGTACTGCATCTCTTTACGATGCTCCACTTCCTTGTGGATCAAACCTTTAGGTCGAAGGCTACGGGTATTGCCTCCTGAGAAAACAACCTGATTCGGTTTGGGCACCCGGGTAGTATTACAGCCCTCACACAAATCAAGTGAAATTTGTGTAGCGCATATGTATCTGGTTCCCCCTTGTGCCAATATCTATGTGTCTACAGAGACAGAGTGTTTCCCTTCAGGATTCTAGGTTATCATTTGCCTCTTGATGTAGTTTGGTGATTTTCGTAATGTATTTCCTATCCACTTTCAATGTCTTATCCTGATTTCCTCTTCATTTGGAAGCTGGTTCGTTCTCTTCCACAGTCGGCTGTTGCCAATGGTATCCGGTCAACGGACATTGAGTATCTTATGTGGACAATGGTTTATAAATACTTATACTTTTTTCCTGATGGTTGTAGTAGTTCTCCACGTTTCAGCTCCGTACAATAGGACTGTCTTGACGTATTAGAGATTCTGACTTTGTTATTAGTTGACAGTTGTTTTTAGCTCCATATGTTCTTCAACTGTAAGAATGCCGCGCACACTTTGCCAATCCTCGCCATTACATCTGCATCAGATCTTCCTTGTTCATCGATGATATTGTCGACGTACATGAAATATTACACATCTCCCAGAGCTTCTCCATCAAGTGTGATTGGGTTGATGTTCTCCGTGTTGTATTTGAGACTCTTTTTCCTTTGTGTATATTGAGACCTACTGATGCAGAGAATGCTGTATACAATGAACTTCTCTTTTAAGATTTTCTCGTTCTGCATTGCTTTCACAAGATGAACTAATGAACTTCTACTTATAAGATATAAAGGTTCTCTTTTAACAAGGAATTTCATAAAGGTTATATTTCATTTGAAACGGAATACTTACGATCTTTCATAATCTTGGGGATTTGTTTTGGGGGCACTAAAATATCACAAAATTTTATCAACTCTATGATTTAGGTTAATAACTTTGGTGATATTTTGTTTATACCTTTACCGGGATTTTTTGGGATACTTTGGAAAGTTTCTCCGTCTGTCTCTAGTGACAATATAGATTAGTGGAATGATTCAACTACTTAGGTTTAAGTATGCAAAAAAAGGATGTACTATTTGGCATATATGTGCATCGATTCAACTTGACATACTATATCATTACAGTGAGATGAAATTATCATGACATATCCCAGAGTAGAAGAAGTAGTATCAGTATTAGTGATAGTAAAAAAGATTAGGCATAAAAAATATGATCCCAGCGGTAAGATTGAATTCACACAACAAAATGTATCAAATAATTTTTAAACTTAAGATCTAGGTGAAAACGAAAACTGAATGTATCTGATCCATTGCGACCTAATCGGTACCATGTTATTCAACTTCTCCCAACTACTGACCACGATAATCGCGCAAGCTCCAATCAAATATTCCGCAACTGCTGATACAGTCAGTGGTTTCATGAACTAATACCATCCATTAATTTGATCGCTTCTAGTTTTCTTTAAACTTATCCGTGCACCAACCTACATCGCGCTTCGACGCAGGCGGTAATACATATCCCAACTACCTCAGCCGATAAAGATTCACTACCTCACCAGCTGATCAATCTACTTTCCGTTGAATTAATTGGTTTCACGAATTTAATGGACTGCACAGTTACCTATACTGTTTGTGTCGTAACAGTCTAGTCGGTTTAATAAAATGTTTTGTAATGGATTGAGCGATCAGACTTATAACTTACTAGTAGGATTGATCCACAATTTTAAGATAAATTGAATTCGGTGTGGCAGAAACTCTAGCGAACTTACTGAGTATGCCAACATATATTTCAGATAATTAAAACCCCACTAATATACGTAACGCCAATGAATTTGTGAATTAAGAACTTGTTTTTCAATCACTTGGTCTCAGGTTCGAGTTCCATTCCATCTGTTTTCGTTTGGGCAACTGCTTCAGTATAATTAGCCTTCAAAGAAACATTGTAACTAAAAACCGAATGGATAAATTTGTACATTTTTAGTGAGTTACATTATTTCTGTACAAAATATTAAGCAACAATAGTACAATTAAGACTTACTTGTGTGTTATTTGAAGGATAATCAAGGAGATAAATGAAGACAGCTTTAAATAACTTGATATGGACAAAGGATAGAAGCGTTCACTTTCTCTATTAGAATACTCCCATACGTCCGTGCGTTTACAACCTTTACCAGGGAGAGTTTACTCACTACTTTGATGTAACAGATTTTCACAAAGGTGAAAGGGCGAATAGCTGATATCTTGTATATAAGCTGGGTCAGTGGACGCGGAGAGTGCGCCTCGCAGAGTTGAATAAACTTGACTCCGAACCAGTGGTATATATTGACTCCAGGATCGAAATAAAACAAATGTCATGAAACTGCCTTCTCTGACGTTGCACCACGATGTGTTGTCGGTTAGACGTTTTGGTCAAAGATTCAAAGATTAGTTTTCTGAAAAAAATCACCTGCTTCATTATGGGCATCCAGTTTGTATTCCAACTCATACACAAATGCATCTCATGTGTAAAATAAAGGTCACAAAACACCTAGTAATTATTTACCTCACCGCCTAGCTCATTGAAATAACACAGCATATTCATGTTTAGTTCTTAATTCTACTTACATCATCTCTTAATTGATTATGTTAACTTAATTGTTGATATTCATTAGCATATTGTCAGTTTCTTTGAGAAAGAAAAACAACCTTTTTCTTAATCAAAATTTAGTCTTCCTAAAGTTGAACAATTGGCTGAATTTGTCCAAATGAATTTAACTGGACAGATATTTGGACCGGCAGCAGTTCAAGTAAGTTAGATTTTCCATTAACATGTAACACTATTACTCAGCTACATAGGGCAAGAAAGATTCATTGAAAATTAAAAAATGTTAGTTTCATGTAATTTGAGCCCTTTTTTTCAGTATTGTATAATAAAACCCCTTCTGATATTAATCAAAATATACTCATTTGTGATTGGCTTCAAAAAGTATATCCTGGAGTTCTAGTGAAAAGCAGTGACCAGTAGAGTTCAACCAGGTCTGTTGTGTGATAGTAACTCATTGATGACAGTAGTGAATGTGTTACTCAATTTTGTGGATTAGTTGAAGTTAGACATTAACACTGTTGGATGCTGGCCGACTCAGTTTTCCAGGGGTTAAGCACTCGCTCGTGAGACTGCTAGGTCCTGGGTTCGAATCTCGCGGGGTGCGGGATTGTGGATGTGCACTGCTGAGGAGTCCCACAATTGGACGAAACTGCCGTCCGGTGCTTCCCGGTTTTCCATGGTGGTCTAGCTTCAATTGACTGATGATTTCAACTATTGAAATATCGTATATTATACAGAATAAAATATCATACGGGGAAACAAAAACGAATACTACACTGAATGGTCATCACATTGAATCAGAACGGAAGTCATGTTGAACCAAAACCCATAATGAGTAAATCAATTGAATTTCGACTTTACTTTCCATCATCTCAGAAGCATTACTTATAAAAGGAAAAAAACCATACAGTTGTTCTAAAGTCAGTAGAATATAATTCGTCTAACTGTAATTGAATAGTTAACCTACCTATCAATCACAAAGCAACACATAGTTGTTACTAGCCAGGTTATCAACATTTAATGGAAATAAGAATTAAATACTAGATTTCAAAATAGTTGAATCGTTTTATAACAAATAAAACTTCGATTAGTAACTTAAAGAAGGAAATTCAACAATAATAGACTTGTCATTATAAAGCTGTAACTCTCACTAGAAATGTTTCAATATTAGTGAAATTACTCATTATTACATTTAAGTAGTATAATTAGTATGTACAAAAATGTAAACTTGCTCTAGCTTCAACTGACTCATGATCTCAACCATTGAAAATAAATATCTTTTAATAGTTGAGATTATGAGTCAATTGAAGCTAGACCACTATGGAAAACCTGGAAGTACTGGATAGCGGAATGGTGGATGCGCACTAATGAGGAGTCGAACGATAGGATAAAACGGTCGTCCAATTCTTCCAGGTTTTCCATGGTAGTCTAGCTTCAATTGACTTATGATCTCAACTATTAAAATTACTATAATATTCACAAAAAACCCCTTCAAGTATCACTAATGTTAGGATAGATCAAAAGAGAATTTTTAAAATGGGGCTTTTTCGAAAAAAAAAACATGTATTTAAAGAAACTTATTGGTCATATATCCGTCAGTCAGCTATAACGTAGGACTAGGTATATGTATGTATCGGTCCAAGTTGCTCCACCTCATTAGCACAACAATATGAACACGAAATTCATAGAACTAATTGATTCAATGGTGATAACATGCACAAGTAAGATTGAATATAAGGATATGATACAGAGAGAAAGAATTGGTTGGTGGAAAGAACGGTATAAAGTAATTTTAACCTCATAGTTTAACGGAAGATAGAGAGTGTATGCACCTACACCATTGTGATCGATTCTGAGCCATGTCACTCTTAGTCTCCAAACATTGATTAGGATAGTCACGCGGACCCAAACCAAGTAGTCTCTATCTACGAACATGGCTCAGAAGAGAAGTTAGTGAATTCTTTTTAATTGTTTCAGTTAAGATGTAAAGAGAACTGCGTTTGTTTTAATTATCATTGTAACTTATTCTCAAGAAAGAATGAACATATTTCATATCCGAGTTTAGGATTTTCTAGTGATTTGGAACTATGTTCGGCTGAAACGAAACATTTTAAGTTTTTGGTGTAAACTGAATACATTTTCTGTTTTAATCACCTTACGATATACCCATGATCCTTATCCAATGTCGATTGTGTCAGTCATGATAGAATGAATCACCTGTGAAGAATACTTTATAATTTGGCTAAAGTTGATCTCAATTTTCTATTCTAAGACAGATTGTTTACAATCAGGTACACTGATTTTCAAAAATATTTATTTGGATTTAAATTAAATAGAATCAAATCAGTTCACAATAGGAGTGTGATGAACGAGAACACTGTTGAGGGCAACCAATATATTTTAATAAATTGTTACAGAGTTCTTTGTTATAATGAAATAAGCTACGTTCAATACTTCATTCGCAGATCCTTCAACAATTGTCTCAAACATCATCGTTCTCTCATTGCCATAACAATTACTCTATGTTCCCGTTCTTTTCGATTTGGTCTTTCCAACCTTCTGCCTCCAGGCATCCCACATCTGTCTAGTGTTATATACTACTAATATTTGTCGATATAAGCAGTATACACCATACTCGTCCCACCTTTAAACAGTCGCTCTTGCAGGGGTTTTAGCTCACAGTACCACTTTCTCCTTTGCCTCAAGCTGTGCTACGCTCTCCGTTTAAATATCTGTCAACATAAATAGCGTATACCACATTACTGTATCATTTCGTTTTAAGTCAGCATTGAGGAATTATATTGTGCTCTTATGATAAAAAGGTTTATCGATCTTGTTTTGCTATATTTCAATATATTGTTTTCTCATTCTATCTCTTTTTGGCCTTAGCTCTTGAATTTAATTATTCGGAGTGATGAAAATGCATATCATTCAGTTCATCAGTTAGCTGTTGAACATGATCTAATTTTAATCAAAGATCCAGATCAAATTAAAATTCAATGTGAGAAACTAATTAATGATTATCCTAAATTGGTAGGTTTAACACCTTTTTTTATCAGAAGAAGGAGTTTTGTGGAAAGTTTAGAAATTTCAATAGTTGAAATCATGAAAAGTCCCATATTAGGACGTAACGTCGATTCAGTGCTTACGGGTTTTCCATGAGGGTCTAGCTTCAATTAACTCATGAATTCAACTATTAAAATTAGTATGATATCCACAAAACCCCCTCTCTGATTAATAATCATATTTAGGTTATTTATTGTAAATCTATTAACCATTCAGTCTTACTTACTTACGCCTGTTACTCCCAATGGAGCATATGCCGCCGACCAGCATTCTCCAACCCACCCTGTCCTGGGCCTTCTTTTCTAGTTCCATCCAATTCTTGTTCATTTTTCTCATGTCTATTTCCATTCCCCGGCCTAATGTGTTCTTTGGTCTTCCTCTCCTACTTTCGCCTTGAGGATTCCAAGTGAGGGCTTGTCTTGTGACACAGTTGGGTGTTTTCCTCAATGTGTGTCCTATCCACTTCCAGCGCTTCTTCCTGATTTCCTCCTCCGCTGGGATCTGGTTAGTTCTCTCCCACAGTTCGTTGTTGCTAATAGTGTCCGGCCAACGGATCCGAAGTATTTTGCGTAGACATTTGTTAATAAACACCTGTATTTTCTGGATGATGGCTTTCGTAGTTCTCCAGGTTTCTGCCCCATACAGTAGAACTGTCTTGACATTTGCATTGAAAATCCTGACCTTGGTGTTGGTTGACAGTTGCTTTGAGTCCCAGATGTTTCTCAGTTGTAAATATGCTGCTCTTGCTTTGCCGATCCGCGCCTTCACATCTGCATCAGATCCACCCTGTTCATCAATGATGCTGCCCAGATATGTAAAGGTTTTTACATCTTCCAAATCTTCTCCGTCAATTGTGATTGGATTGGTGCATTCTGTGTTGTATCGGAGAATCCTGCTTTTCCCTTTGTGTATATTGAGACCTACTGCTGCTGAGGCTGCTGCTACACTGTTCGTCTTCTCCTGCATGTGTTGTTGCGTTTGGGACAGAAGGGCCAGATCATCTGCGAAGTCTAGATCGTCCAACTGCATCCTAGATGTCCAATGTATCCCGTGCTTCCCTTCAGATGCTGACGTCTTCATGATCCAGTCGATCACCAGGAGAAAGAGAAAGGGTGAGAGTAGGCAACCTTGCCTGACACCGGTCTTCACTTCGAACGCATTCAGTCTTAATATTGTGTAATAGTGTATATACAATTCTTAATGTAAATAATCTTATTGTCCCTTTTACAATGATCACCACTTTTAAATTCATTTGGCGTTGTTTGCTTGTATCTTTTCATTGATATTTAGGACTGCAATTGATCAGTCTCTTGTTTGCATCCTTTCATCCTGTGTGGATTGCTTCAATCTAGCATTAAATCACAAGCTTTATAAGTAAAGATAAATAGTGACTAACAGGAGGGAATCCATGACGTACGTTTTATTCTATTTGGAACTCATTAACTTAATGTATCTGCATCTCAGACTTGATGTTCACTTCAATACTCAACTCTTGAATACCGGTACATTCATCTAACGAATCTCAAATAGGTAGGAAATGTGCATCAAACTGGATCCGACTGTGAACCACTATCCATCTTTACTTATATAAATGATTATCATTGTTATTAAGATTTTCCAATTTTTTAATATATATAGATAATCAGTTAATCCTCTCTCTTTATATTTGTAATCCATTTTAAGCTGATCATTCAATTTGTGTATATGTGTTAATGTTTGTTTGTTGAAATGTATTTGATATATATATATATATATATATATATATATATATATATATATATATATATATATATATATATATATATATATATATATATATATATATATATATATATATATATATATTTTTATATATCTCTACTTAATCTCCTCTACTGTTGTTTTCTTTCTTTGTTTTTCTCTTTTCTTTTTTCTTTCCTTCAAAAGAAGCTTCCTTTATCGATATGTTCATTTTGTGTATGTGTGTGTGTACGTGCGTGCGTGCGTGCGCGCACTCGCTCGCTCGCTCGCGCTCTTTTCAAATATTTTTCTCTTGTTTGTAATATCTTTTTTTTCATATGATTTTCTTTTTTCATTAGGTTGGACAATATAAAAATGGTAATAAGAAAAGTTTAAAAAAGTTGGTTATGAATTTAATAAAAAATTCAGAATGTTACAATAATTCTAATAAATTTAATCCTTCTACTGTTTATAAATTACTTGAACAACTAATTCCATCCTCTTCATCCTCTTCGACAACATCATCATCATCTGAATCATCCTCTTCATCATCTTCGACATCATCAACAACAACATCATCTGAATCATCCTCTTCATCATCCTCGACATCATCATCAATAAATACTAATTCATCATTAAGTTCAATTGGAGTAGATTAGAAATGAAGGTATGAAAGTGAATACATGAAGAGTAGGGGGGGAGTGAGGAACTATTTTGTATTTTTATCGTCGAGAAGATTATTATTATACCCATATATATATATATATAACACCATATAGTTACCAAGTATTATGTTCCCCGGTTTGTTTACGTGTCTCTTTTTTTGTGTGTCAAGGAAACCACAGGTAAACTAATTCTCCGGATATTCCAAGAAGAAAACTATCAATGATACTTTTAATGGTCATTTCCTTTTTTTTTCTTTTCTTTGTTTTTTCTCCCTACAAATAAGTTTTGCAAGTATATTGATGTTTTTATTCAGATATATAATTGATAGAATTTTCGAATAAATTCAGTTTTTTAGTTCTGTTTAGTGTTATTGTAGAGTTTTAGTTGAACAATTCAATGTCTAATTAAAATAATTAAGGCCAAAGTAACGATAACGTTGAGATATACTTCTTTCAACTTGGATACGGGAACATATCCCAGTTTGGTTCTATAAGGGTGAAAGGAAATCAGTTAGGAGTTCTATACTTGAACACCTAATCGACTGTAGCCGTTCTACAGATCCACAATCTGATTTTATGGTTGTTTATATGATTTGTTCAAATCTACCCAGATTTCTTCGTATTCAACTCTTAAATATAGCCGAATCTCTGATCATCCAGGAGCTTAAACGAGAACTATGCGTACAAAAGAAATTCAATGTACATAATAATAATAATAATAATAATAAAGTTGGTTGAAGATATGAAATGGTAACTAGGTGGTTAAATTGTGGTGTGGGCTACTTATATCCATATAAGTAGTACATAACGATCGTTATGAATAAAATGTCTAGCAGTAGGAAAGAATGGGAACAGAAACACAATTGATATGAAAATGCAAGAACAATAAAATTTGAAACAATTGATTGATATTTCGTGAATTAAATATTTGCCAAATCCATGTATATTTATCAATTCAATTCGGCAAGTTCTTCATTGTATAATAGGACACTATCCGTCGTGGGTTGAGCAAAGGACAGGTAAGAGTGATTAAGAGTTCTATTCTCGTTTACTTGGTGGACACAGATCATCAAGTTGAACTGAATAAAGGTTTTAAGATGATCCACCATATTCTATCAAATTTGCCATCTGGTTTACGAATGTGTTTTTTGCACATTGCTGAAGCTATTACAATCCATGTTCACAAACCTAACCTTTGTATCCAATAGAAGTTTGTATAATCACTCTCACTACCCTGGTCATCGATATAGAGGAGTTCGTAGCAGAGCTTTGATAAACTATTTTCGCATTTCTTTCATTTTTTTTGTACTTTACTTATTCTCACCATTCGTCTGTTGATTATTACTGTTATATCCCGATGAGAATAATGAATGTAACTTTTGAGATCCATTTATACAACAATACTGTGCGTATAATTGTCAAATAACTAAACTATTCACATTCATTTCCCTCTTATTATGAGCTTTATTTTGACCGATGAATTATTATTATACGATTTACCATTCTTGAGTTATACCCAGTATATTAAATACTACCCCCCACATTCACAGCCACATTTGGCTAAATCTTGTAAAAATGTTGTTTGATAATTTATGATACGATGTGGTCTGTTTGGTTTGTACATAAACCGAGTATGTTTGAAATAGAATGATTCATATCGCAGAGGCTGAGATTGGTGTTCTGGACTTAACTGGCTGGGCTATGTGGGAAGCAGGACTGTAGACTGCTCGTTCTTGTTTTATGCATCGTTGTTTCGGTCGATAATTCACTGCTCTCTAATTGGCGGTATCGTTATGTTATACGTTAACAGGGCACACAGGCCACAAGCTATAACAGGTTAGATATTAACACCGTTGAATGTTAGCTGGCTCAATATTACTTAATGTTAATTTATAATCGATGTATCATTATATAATTATTACGTAATATATCCATTCGATGAGTATCATTTCATTATTGTAAATTAAATATTTACTGTATAATTCTCAGATTTTAGTAAAACCTTCTGTAATTTCGAATTCAAATACATTTGATTGTCGTCATTTGTGTTTTTGCTCACTACGGAAGCATTCAAATGAACATAATTTTCAGTTTAGGGGTTGTGGAGATTGTTAAGTTTTTGATTAAAATTATGAACCGATTGATGTTAGATCACCATTGAAAACCTGGAAGCACTGGACGGCCGTTTGGTCCTATTGTGGGACTCCTCAGCAGTGCGCATCCACGATCCTGCTCACAGGATTCGAACTCAGGGTCTTCAGTCTCGCGCGCGAACATTATCTCGCTTAATTCAGTTAATGGAACTGGTTAGTATCACTTATACTCATATGTAAAGTGTAATTACAATTTGAGTGTATGGATATGTACTATATTGCATATTTTCAGAAATATGCATTTCATCTGTCTTGATTTATAACTTGGAATAAGGAATAAGTTTTTAAATGACGGAATGACTAAACGAAGTGATAGCCATAGTAAATAATGTTAATGTAGGTATATAATTGTTTTTGCCCCCAAATTCCCTGGTACGTCCGAGAGTGGGGAGAGTCCGCTCCCCCTATCCAAATGCTCGCCCATGGCCACGCTTATATAGCCTCTGCCAGGAAAGTCCTACTCACTGCCTTCTCGCACCAAGGGTGTTGTTTACGAAATTGAGAGGATGAAAAACGAAACTCCGGTGCTTTAACCAGGTTGGTGGACATGGAGAGTCCACACAGGGGAGTTGGAAAACCTTGATTCCAAAACAATGGTGCACATGGGCTCCAGTATCCTGAGGGAACAAATGGCGTATGAACCAATTGTTGGTCACCGGTTACAATGGGACTGCATCTCCTTACGTTGCTCCACTGCCTTGTGGATCAGACCTTCAGGTCGAAGGCTGAGGGTGTTGCTTCCCAAGAAAACCACCTGCTTCGGTTTGTGCACCCGGGCAGTATCTCAGCCCTCACACACACCGAAGGATTTATGTGGCGCATATGTATTTGATGTCCCCTTGTTCCAATATCTATGTGTTAAAATAAATAATAATTGTTTTTTAAAATCCATTCATTCCTTGTATTCCGTTCAATTATGAATTTCAAAATTATTCACTCTTGATTATGTACATCAATTTTGTAATGATGAACTGTTAGAGCTAATAGAATCAGGATATTGTAAATGTATTGCTCATCATGATACATTAGTCAATACTTACAGTTTAACTAACATTCATTACATACATATCATTGTAGACATAATAATGGTGGTTAAGCTACTAGTGTTTGATCACAGTTGTCTTAGAAATATAGCTCGCATCTGTTGGGATGACCGGGTAAGTAATAATAAGGTTAGAGGCAAAGTATTAAGGAATGATGGTAAATCAGTTGATGAAGCTTTGAACCTACATCGACTGAGATGGTTGTGCCACGTGTTACGTATGCTTGAACACCGATTACCACGACACTCAATGCTGACCAGTGTTGGAGACGTTTGGAATCAAGTTAGAGGCGGCCAAACCAAAACGTGGCTTGAAGTGCTTGAAGTCACTAACTTCGAATCCGAGCCATGGCTCAGATCCAAATTACTTCGTACGTTTCTTTCTCTCTGTATTATACCCTTATGCACAATATTTCTTTTATATATTACTACCATTGAAGTAACTACTTCTATGAATTTGATGTTTATCGTGTTGTGCTAATGAGGTGTGGCAACTTGGACCGATTCATATATGTGCCTGATCCTATGCTGTAGCTGACTGACTGGCTAAATAATACAGGTAAATCAAATCTGTAATCGGTCATGTTCAGGATAAACTATTTTACCATGTTCGAAATAACCTATTTATTTGTTTGATATACATTACATGTATATTCATAGCATTTACAAACGTTTTACATCAATTTTATAAAATGAACTACTGAGGTCAAATAGACTATTAATATTTCCGATCAAATTTAAAATGAGCTAGTTAAACTCACCCTCTACTAACTATAATTTGATATCTTAAGATGATAGTTGGAGGTAGTCAACAGGAATCCCTGGGCCCAGGTTTCGTTCTACATGGCACTTGTCAGCAGGTGTACCTGTAATCTTGAGGGAACTGATGCTCCTTGACAGATTCGATCCTGTGTTACCCAGCTTCACAGTTAGAAACGAGTGCCAAGTAGCACGAACTCTAGGTCCAGAGATTCCTGTTGACTACCTACAACCACCATCTTATCTCAACATAGTGCACGCAATGTCCAGTCACCTAGACTAGTGTCCACAATGCTACTTGGTCGATAGTATTCCATATGCACTAAGAAGGACCTGATGTACATGACATTGATCACTATCCAGCGATCAATCAATTGTGAAGGTATCTTTGATTAACTAAAAACATTCGCATACCATTTACAGCTTTTTTGTACTCATCTATGAATAAAATTGCTTCTATGATTGCGAATGCCAGTAATGTTTCGTTGTTCAAGTTGAATTAAACGGATAAAAGTTTTAATTTATGAACTGATGATTAAGAGTTGAGTACTTAAGTCCCTAAGTCACCTCTATACATATATAAAGCAGAAAATCTCATATGAATAAAGAGTTCATAAGCTATTAGATCACTGATAAGTTGGACAAATCGGCGGTAACGTCTCATGTACCATCTTGTTTTCTAAATCAAACTTCATTGGAGCTTGGGAGAATTTACATTTGAACATCAAGTACTTCGTATTTGGACGGTGGTAACATGTACAGATTATATTTAATGCGTATATACTCAGTTAGAATATAGTTTTAAAGATTCCTCAATAAACAATGTTCCGACTAGTGGTAATGTTGTTGTGCATAAACAATTTCCCTACTTTATTGATTGTGTTTGTTCGTCTATATCCAGATGATTTGAAGAAGTGAAGGGTCCCATAAAATGACAAAGATAGTGAAACCTGCGAAACTCTTTAATGTTTTAGCTAATAAATCTTTGATTTTATAAACACTTATCAGTGGCAGATGATGAGAAGAAACAAAGATATGTGTTGAAGTAATTCTACAATTTTCAGATTACTCGATAATTAAATTTTTATCAGAATGGGTTTTGTGGAGATTTTTAAAAAATTTCACAGGTTGAAATCATGAGTCAATTGAAGCTAGACAACCATGGAAAACCTGGAAGCACTGGACGGCCGTTTCGTCCTAGTATGGGACTCCTCAGCAATGGTGGACGGTTGCGCAAGTTCGTGAATTGGTTAAAGTTAGACACTAACAGCATTGGATTCCGGCTCAGTGATCTAAAGGCCGAAGGTCCTGGGTCCGAATCCACTATGAGGGATCTTGGATGCTTTGAGTAGTCTTATACTAGAACGAAAAGGCTATTCAGTGCTTCTAGGTTTTTAACGGTGATCTAGCTTAAGTCAACTCATGAATTGAACCATTAAATTACATTTTAAGGAATTGCGCTTATTAAAACTGTGAATTTGAGAAAACATCAATACAGTCCACAAAATATGAACTTATTACATCCCAATTGATTGCAGATAGAATCATTAAAGTGTAAAACCTAACCATTTATTAACAGATCTCCAATTGAATATATTGAAAAGGTATCATCTGACGAGTCTACATCATTAATATCACAACAGACATTCAAGCATTCTTGGTTTATTAAATGTTACAGAAAATTATAGTTAATTCAATAATTGTATTCATGAGTGAATTTAAGCTAGACTACGATAGAAAACGTGGAAGCACTAGACAATCGTTTCATCTTAGTATGGAATAGTATATTTGATCCATATGTAACAACTATTTTGTAATGTTGCCTGGTTTAATTAAATATTTTTTTTCTGATCAAAAATTGTACGAACCCTTTTTGACCGCGCTCAAAAAATCTGTTCAAAAGAATACCTTGATGATGAAATTAATCTGATTACTAATGTTCTACGCGATAATGAATACCCATTGAAATTTATCCAGAAATATGTAAAAAGCAATCCTCATACAAAATACAATGGAGTAAAGGGAAAAATCTGCTTTTTACACTTACGTTTCAAAGGTGATGAAATCGCTGGAATAATTAATCACAGAATAAACTCTGAGTTGAAAGTCACCTACCCAGCAGCAAAACTTATGACAGTATGGCAAACGAACTGCTCACTTCAACAAACCAAAATCGACAAGCCCGCTTTTCTTAGTAGCTCCAACTGCATCTACCAATTTACATGTACGTGCCAAAGCACATACATTGGAAGAACTGAGAGAAGAGTGCATGTCCGCATTTTTGAGCATGTTCCAAAAAACTTGAGGCTGCGTGGGACCAGGTCTTTCAAGAGTGCAATAGCTCGATATCTATTTGACACCGGGCACACCATCGACATTCCTCATGCTTTCAAAGTTATCAATAGACAATGAAGTACGACCACCCTCCGTTTTGCTGAAGGCATTATGATCAAAAAACTTAAACCTGACTTATGCATTCAAAAAGATACTTTAATTAACTTATCACTACCCTGGTAACCCTTTTTTTCATTCATTTTAAAATATTTATATTCCTTCCCTATTACATAATTCTTAAACCACATTATTATTCACACATTTCCACCACCTGATCCTCCTAAATTATCTTAACTTTTCAAATTCTATTTAATTATTATTACGTAACCTATCTTATGATTATTCAATTCCATTATTACACCACCCAACCCGAATTAATTCCTTTTGACCTCTGACCTGTTCTAGTATATATATATATATATATAGTTATTATGGTAACCCAGTTATTTACACTCATCTATGTCAATTGTTCTCACTCTATCTCAATGTAAAAATTCTATCACAATTTTGGTTTGTAAGCCACTGACGAGAAACCTCGAAATAATATGAATTCATGCCATTCTGCATCAATATTTGTTCTTGCTTTATTTAAATTCATAAAGGGAACCAATTGCACAAAAATTGTTGATTGATCAGTTACTTAATAATGATCAATGTTATGTTTATCTAATCTCTTAATGTTGATCGGATTTTATCAATCAAACTACA